GCTCGTTTTTGCAAGCTTTCTGTCAGCCTTGAATCATTAATGTTTACACGTTCATACGTTCGATTAGCACGCTGTCATTTGCAAAACTACGCATAAGATGCTCGTGAATACGTCGGTGGCGTTTCTTTTCACCGAATGTTCCATTTGTTTCCGCATTTGATATACTACACATTCGTTTGCCGGCATTACACATACTCAGTTCCGGTCCAGTCGATCTAGCATTCACGGGATAACGAGCAGTTCTTTCCTTTCTTTTCGTTCATCGAGTTCTCGATCGTTAACGCTTTCCCAGCGCCACGGTAAAATTCTTCGAAAGCTCTTAACCCTCAGCCGTCGAACCGCAGATGGCGATGACTCGGTCATTTCTAAAACTGTGCACATGCACGTATAAAATTTCAATCTCGCACGTAATTTCACGAAAGATCAAATCCTTTGTACGACAGATTCTGAAATTTGAATAATGCTGTCCTGATTTGACATTGGTCAAAGAAACTAATTTGAAGATGTATTGGTTATCACAACGAAGGTTGAATGTTGGAGAAAAATTGTGGAAATTCCAGATACTTATGTCAGATAATAAAGATACTTCCCAAGTGTTTTCTTATTGTTAGATAAATATTACAACGTATCACAGAACAAATGCATCCGTCCGTTTCGTTCAGTATTTGAACTGCAGATGACCGAGTCGTGGCCGAACGAGGGTTAAATTACTCGTCAATGCAGCTCCTTTTTTTTCTTTTTTTTCTCGTTGTCCATCAAATGCCGAACAATCGAACGCGTGTTTTCTTTCCTCAAGATGTTATCCGTTTTCCAATAAAAAAAAAAAAAAATCGTCGTGATCAGTGTTGATCGTGTACCAACGCAACGTTGGAAATTCTCAACGGAAGCTGTGGTTAATCGAAGGGAATACGCGAAAACGCGATACGAGTACGGGCCATTGTTTACGAATCGTTGATCGCCGAGAGGCGAGAAGTTAGCGGTGAACTTCTCATTTGGAGAATTTAACGACGAAGTTTCGGCCGGTTTCAGAAAGTTTCCTTGAACGTGTAACGATCGACTGCGAACTTTCGAAGTAATCATGCCGGCTCGCTTCCACCATGCCGAATGTGTCGGTTGTTTTACACGCCTCTGACGATGTTCTTGGTTATGCAGGTCGTGTTGGGTGTCCACACTTCATGGCGCCGGAAGTGATCCAGCGCCGACAGTACGGCAAGCCTGGTGACGTCTGGTCAGCCGGAGTGCTGCTCCATGTTCTATTAACTGGTACGCTTCCATTCGTCGGCTCTCGGGACAGACTGCGAGAAGCAATTTGCAGAGGACGAGTGCAGGTAGAAATTGACCAGACATCCAGCGCTTTCTCCGCTTTTAGAAACGCCATGCAAGAATGATAATGACGTTTTCGATCCGCGCGTTTCGCGCACTCACGTACGCGTTCCCCTCGGCCGAGATGGTTCGGAAATTCATGTTCGTAACGCTTGCAGATGGAAACGCCTTTATGGGACAATATCAGCGAGCCAGCCAAGGATCTCATACAAAGAATGCTCACAACGGATGTAAATCACAGGATTACCATACAGGAAGTGCTGAACCACAAATGGCTCCGAGTAAGTCGCGTTTCATTGAATCGTGATTCAAACGCGCGCGATATTAGGGATTACTTTCCCCGTTCCCGTTCGTATTTAATATCGCGTTTAAAACGCGATAGTTCTTTATGTATCTCTATTCCTTGTAGGCATCCGAAAGTTCTCAAGTGCCTAATCGATATTGGTTAATTTCGTGCAGGCTCGAAGCTTTCATTACGAAAGACCTGCGAGAAGTCTTAGAAGATATTCGTGCCTTGAAAGATATTTTCACGAGGGCAGATATATTTCAACTTCAGGCTTTAAAGGAAGCTTGGTTACAGCTGGGTAGTAGTGGGCGGGTGGTTGAAGTGGTAGAAATCGCGGAATTCTTAAGGCGAAAGTAACTTGGAATTTCCCGGCAGTGTGTATTCAGCGGAGATGGGATCGAATGTAATGCAATTTTATATGAGTTTAAATCTGATCTACCGCGGAAAGAAAACTATAATTTTAAGTAGATTTTTAGGAGAAGATCGGACAATTCGTTACGAATATTTTATGAAAACTTTAACCAACTCTTTTCAAACGACTGCTTTTTGCTTTCAATATCAGCTTCGAGTGAAATCAAAGTGTCTTGTAATGTTTATGTTACATGGTTCCTTGCCTCGCCGGATATTTGAATATATTTTTGCTGCAGTTCGCAACGAACTTACAATCGGTGAACACAGAGAACAAAAACGGTTTCCTTTTATTTACAGAAATTGAAATTCTGACGGAATTAGATTTTTTTCACGCAGATTTGTAACTTGCATTCGCGAGTACGTATTGAAGTCGATCTGATCCACGGCGTGTCGAGGCATTCGCGTTAACAACTTCTATTTAATAGATGCTTAAGCATCTATCTGGTTCTTTTTATATCGCATCAGGTTTTCGATAAACGGCCTCATTTTCTGCTATTATATCCGGTGAATGTACGTGCGCATGTGCACGGCATATGGTGTAATAAAGTAAGAATATACCTATATGATACGACAGTTAGCCAGTGACCTAAGGTAGCGAAGCTTGGAGTCACCCCATATATCGATGCAATACACGTGCAACTGGGCTATCGATCGCTATAGCAGGGGCAAAGTTCCACCGGTTAATGAAAATAACTGTAGCGGGGTATATTTTTCCCTGTGCTAGTTACAGTTTTTTGAACGTGACTGCACATTCGCTGAAGTCCTAAGAAACTTCATAGAAACGCGCGTTCATGATCTGATCCTGTTCTCGTTAGGACGAAGTTGCACGATATACCGAGCTTTTTTTTTTTACAAATATTCGACGTCCTTTTCGAACGTATCGGATCGTTTGTTTACCACGGTATAGGTATAGGAATACATGTCTACTTATTTTCATCGACGAACATTTATTTCTGTTAAATATTTTTGTCAATCCGAAAGGATGTTAATATCCTCGCGATTGATAGAAACGGGAAGTTTCATTTATTTACGACCGATAAAATTCATGAGAGGTAATTAACGCTAGAGATACTCGTTTGATGCTCGTATTTCACTGGCAACTTTCTCGAGCCATTTATCACACACATCGCAGTCTAGCATTAATATTACCCTCGTTATTTATTATGACATTATATTGATATTGCGTAATCTCTGAACAAACTACATTTGTAGGACCGTGATAAGGGCGTGGCTCGAATACATTTAGGTGAAACTATAGAAGAGCTTAAGAAATTCAATGCTAGACGAAAATTGAAGGAAGCTGTGAAAGCGGCGATCTCGTCGTCGAAATGGCACATCCCGTATTCGGAAATTAACGGTGACAGCTTTTTCGATATAGGCGACGACGAAGTAATTACCACAGGTACTAATATTTTTAATATTTATCTTTCATATTTATTTTTAACAAGTGTTACTTGATAAATTAGTAAATAAATAGAGAAAAAAATAAACAATTAATTATCGTACAAAACTGAACGAATTATGAAAGTAAGTTTTTGAACATCTTCAATTTCAGTCACTATTAAAATACCATAATTTTCGTTAATAATCGTTTAAATTATTGAAATCTACGAATTCGTGAATCAATTGATATATCCATTTTCTAAAATCGTATTATTTTCTAAGATCAAAATTATTTTTTAGGTGCTATAGCTGAAATTTTAGACTCTCTGGATGATATTGAAGTACTTCAAGAAAGTGGAAGACTGACACGTGCCGAGATACTTAACGCAGTCGACGATTATCGTCTTCGAGCCATTTTAGAGGTACGAATATGCTAAACATATCGTAAAAATATTCTACTTATGTTATCAACGAGTATACACATTCGAATATAGGAAATACAGTTCCCAGAGTATCTTGAAATATTGTATGCGATATGCAATGGTACAAATAAGTCTTTTGTTTTTTTTTTTGTTAAAAAATTTGATATAGAAATATAAAATCAAATTTTACGAAATGCAAAATTGAACATAGAGTATCAAAAAATTAAGAAAATCATAATTATACATTGGATTAAAATGAAACAAATTTTAAAATATTTCTTCTAATACAGGATTCTTCTTTATCTACTTACTGAGTGTCGATAATGTAACGACAAAACTCAAAGAATATCACTTAAAATCAGTTGCTACTAACTTATACGAATATTCGTCATCATTTATTCGTCTTTTGAATCTCTTTATTAATATAAATTCTCGTTACTATTGTTATTTTACACTGTACACTTAGAGCTTTTACTTTATCAACGCGCACAAGAGTTTCCCTCAGTGGCGCCATCGCTGGTTTCGGTCGATGTTTAAAGCCACTTGGCGTTCCACTGTATCCACTTCACGGTCGCTGCCTCTTTATCGTGTTTATATCCTGAAGGAAGAGGTACGCGCCCTCATTTTACCTGGGAAAAAGGCGCAAGCGCCCAACTCCCGATTATCAAAATGGCTGACGTGCTAGTCTGATAAACAAAATGCTATACAGGATTGATTTCGTTCTTCATCGCATAGATGTGTGCGTGTATCCCTTTGTGTTGCATAAAAAAACACGTGGGGTTGAATAGCTCACGTGTTAAGATTAGAAATCGTAGAGAAAAATGCGGCTTTGCCAGTTAATGTATGTCGGCGAGGTTGAACTAGCCGGTGACCTTCTTGAAATTGCCTATCTTCTGGTAAGTGAATCAATTTCCAAGAAAAACGCGGGTAATCATCCCTCTGTTGGTTTTCTCTTTTTCTTTCGTCGGTAATGTAAACAATATCTTTCTATCCACACACGATTCACACGATGACTTCACAACGACAGGATGAGACATCTAAGGGTACCGTGACGAACTAGCGCGATTTCCCGCGAATACAATTAGTATTCGTCTGACATCTTGAGTACTGTAACGGTCGGCTATTTTTCAGAGTAATTTTTATAAAAAATCGGTGAGTTTTGTCAAGAATTTACAACTGCTGAACAGCATTATCGATCGCTAAGCGTTGAAAATCATATAACGCGACACAGTGTAAAGAATAAGTAAGAAATTGGACGAAATTGATTTTATATTTGGTTAGGTATTATTAGGTTTCGAAATTCTCTTCACGAATGATCGTTGATGATTTTAAGTTACATTTGTGGGAACTGTATTTTACAATACACGCGATTACAATATATTTCAATGAATATAGATATTTAGAATTATTTTTAGCGTGGTAAGTTGAACAGAATGATTAATGTCGTTATTGTTCTTTAGCTTTACGATAGGATTTCGACTCGAGTTCCAACGCCATGTCGAGCGCCGCAAACGGACGCAGTTCAGCGTGCGCGAGAAGTCGAGGAACTTCTTCGAGAAATAGAACATTCAGCGATACGAAACATCGATAGGGCGGATCTCAGAGAGCTCCATGAACTTTTGGTCCAGCCGCACATGAGGGTAAGTTTTCGAGTGGTCTGTTCAAATTTCGATCGATTAACGGTTAATAACAGTTTTGGCGCGAAACGGAATTTAAACAAAGGGGGAGAGGATGTGGCATATATAATATTACAATAACAATATTAAAATACTTAGTAATCAAACGTGTGACACGAATAAGAATGAACATGGATTTACAACAAGAGAGAATGTACTTAGAAACAAAGTATTGTAAAATCAGTCAAACTTTTAAGATAGATAGGTTAAGTTAGGAGAAACACAATTGAAACTTCAGTATACTAAAGAATGAATGATAGTAGTTAATCTGTTAAATTCTAAACTGTATGTTATTGAAATATACTTTCGTTTCTAGGCAACTGTTCCTTTTTTTTTTTTTTTTTTTTATATATATATAAAAAAGGACATGTGTTTGACACGACTTTGTTCCAGGTGGAAGCATTTTCAAGATTTTAACGTCATCTCCGTTTCTTGTGCGACAACTCCAACAACCTATAATCTGTAGGTTATCTATGTTCACTCAGAGTTGTTTACTCCACT